TCTTTGAAATTTTTTAGTGCAATTACTAATAATTTTCTTAATTAAAACTTTAGAATAACTTTATTTTAATATATCATCGTAAAAATTAAAAAAAATTTACATTTGATTTGATTTGATTTGACAAATATTTGATTCAATTTGATTCGATTCATTCAAATTCAAATCGATTCAACCAAATATTTGAATTCTATTTGATACAATTTGATTTGATTTAAAAATTCAAATTGCTTAAATATTTAATTTGATTCGATTTTGAGGAACCCTAGGGGAATGGTTATTATTAATATTAATATCAGTGGGAGACATAATGGATAACAAAATATTATTCGTTGTATTAATCATTTAAAAAATGTAAATAAGAGGCGTATCTAATTTTGAGATTGGCTAGCATTCATTGCAAATTGTTCAATTTGTTTGAATATTCTGTCTATCTGTCTTTTTTGTTCAGTAATAATGGCAGCTTATTCATTCACCATATTGGTAAAGTCAGGTTTTGGGGTTAAAATTGGTGAAGTTAAAAAATCATCACTTGAAGATTCAACAATGCGAGATATTTTATTAGACATATCTTGTGATCTTGGTGATGGTTGAGAAATATGTGAAACAATTAATGGATCTTTCCTTTACTGATAATAGTTGAAGGAATTACTGTAAACGTAATTGGAAAAGAAGCCTGTAAAGATTCCAGCTTGGTAATTCTAGCATCCAATTTAATCATATCCTTTTTCATATTGAAGAGAATTGAGAAAATCTGATCTAATTTATTATTGATTTTATTATTTGGATTGTGAACAGAATCCTTCACAGTTGGTTGATAATATTATTTGGTGATGCAGGTGAAGGAGTATTCTTATTTTTGATAACCTTGGAATATGATTTGAAAGAATAGTTGGATCGATTAGAATCAACAAATTTTTTAAAACCAGCAGGTTTGAATTTATTATAAAGTCTTTGCATCGAGTTGTTTTGAGTAGTAAACTTAAGTTTTGGTTGATCTTCATTATCATTTGGTGTGGCAACCTTTTTTTGTAAATAGAAACATTACATAACTAGATATGCTGGATTATCACATTTGTGACAACTTCTAGCATCAGGAAAACACCAAATCAATTGATTGTTTTCAAAAGCGAAATTTCGTTGTGTTGTATGATTAAGAGCTTCTTCACTTTCAAAATGTAAGATAACGAAAGGACGAGGTTTGTAGTTATTTGGGATATAACTAGCTTTGGCTTTAGTTGCAAGAATTATGTTATAAAGATCTCTTGCGGTAGTTTCAAAAGGAAGGTTTGTTAGTTTGATATGATGGGTATTTTTATATTTAATCTCTTCTGAAGACATATTGCAAGGATTGACATGAACAGAATCATTTTAGATAAATCAGCTCCACACCTAATAAAATAATTCGATACATTTGAAATTTTCATAAGTAATATAGGCATGTTGCCACATACCTCTTACTATCATTCTAAAATCAGTAACAGTCTCATATTTAACGAAAACTTGTTTGATGTTAGCAGGTTTCATTTGCAATAGAATGTCAGTAACATGAATAGTTCTTTCATTAAATTGCATATTAGGTTTATATTGGGTGAAATCATAGAATAAGTCGATCTTCAGATCAGGAATGGTCACGTGAAGAGAGCTGCGGTAATCACATCTGATATTGTAAAATAGACAATTACCGAACGCATCAAATTTATGTAATAGATAGATATTCCTTTAAAGTTATCATTTTGAGCGAAAATATTATTGATAGCAAGGATAATTTTGCTATTATTCTTTTCTTTAGAGGTAAACTTGATATTACTAGTGACTGCAAAGGGAATAGCTTTGGCAATAACGGTAAAATTTTTTAAGTCTTCTTCTATATCATCATCTTCAAAATGTTTATCTGGATCTAAAAATTTGGACCTATTCTTAGTTGAGAAAGACATTTCAGCGGTATTGTCAAAATTTATATTACTGTTATTATTGTTATTAGAGGTTAGAATAACTGTTGAAATTTTATTGATGGTGGTAATTTTAGATATGTTGAAAGTTTCAAACTCCATTTTTTTATTTGAAAGTGAGCCAAAAACTTCTTGTATAATTTCTAAATCAGGGTTGGTAGGAACAGAAGTTGAGGTTGAAGAAGATGAAGTAAAACTAGCAGCTTCCTTTGAAGCTTTTGGAATAATGTATGAAACGAACTTAAGGTCACCATTTTTTTATTTTGCAGCGCTTTTACGTAAGAAGGTAAGGTAAAATAAAGAAACCTTCTTTATACTGGTTTATTAATTAATTTTTTGTTAAAAATGAACTTTTAAATTTTTTATTTTTTCTATGAAAATTTTGGTTTTGTAAAATGGGAGAGTGTGTTTTTTTTTATTTTTATTTTTTTTTTTTATTGATGTGGCTCTGCCAACTATTTTATTAAGATTTATAGATTTTTCTGAAGAAAATAAAAAATTACAAGTAATGAAAACAAAACAAAATAAAAACTATCTAATAATCTAGACTAAATGTTAGCTACCTCCCAATAATAGAATATGTAAACATACCTATCTATCTAGGTCAACCTATCATCATCAATTCCTTTCTTTTGACCCAAAAAAACTAGCCCAATAACTACTAAAGTCATCAAGAAAAGAAAAAGAACATGTCAAAACTGGTTTAAAAATCTGACTATTTATATCCATATGTAAGGGCAAGTTGAATTCATAACTTCCAAGTGTTAGTCAGAGCTATGCTATTATTATAAGACAAATGTTTGCATTTCTTCTTCATGTTTTTCATATCAGAAGTGATATGTTTCGATAATTTTTTGGCAATCATAAGAGAGCAGCAATATGACTAAATTTCATTTAATAGTCATTCATAAAGAGCAACAATTGCTTTTGTGAGAATTCTATTTGTTTTTTTAGATGATCAAATCAGACTCGTAAGATCATTAAATAATAAAGAAGGTAATTTTCCTTGAATAATAGGTAAAAAGGAGCTTATTCTATCTGTTAGATGAGCAAAGTGTTTATCTAAGAGTAAATCCAAGGACAATGATATTGAAGTAAAGAGAGAAGGAGAATAACATTTTGAAGTCAAATTAATAATCTGAAATTTAATGTCAGAGATAATAATATTGATTTTTGATGAATAAGCATTACATGACCATAAATGATCAGCTGTCTCAGTAGTTAAATTATATCTAACGAGTTCCAATTTTTATATAGATCTGATCTAAGTTTTCCAACTGAGATAATGTAGATAATTCTTTCAAGAATATCTCCATTATGAAAGAATAAAGCTTTCGTTGTTGAAAGGAAGTTGAATATGTAGCCTGATCTAACGTAAAGATAGATCAAATTGTCATCTAATGAACTTTTGTTTGTCTTGTTAAGGATTTGAAATCATCATTTCTATGTAAGTCAATGATATTTGAGACTACAGTAGTGGCAAAAATATTTTTTGTAAAGTGTCTCACTGATGATTCAATAATAATATCATTAAATTGAAATAAACACGTGATAGAGGGGACTTTAAGATAGTTGATAGAAATTTCTGGTGATTGTGTTTCTGATTTGGCTAGATCATCAGCAATATTATTATAAATATCACCACTATGTTCTTTAACCTTAATGAGTATAACACTGAGATTCGATTAATCCACAATAAATTTGATATTCTAGAGAGTGTAATTAGATACTTTTTCAAATGTTCGAACAGAAAGATTGTTATTAGAGATGTAAAAGCTAAAGCCATGAATAATAGCCATACTATCAGTGAATAAAGTGACTTTAGGATTTTTTGGAGAAACAATTAATGCAGTAACAAGTGCAAAGATTTTAGCTCTAGTTGAAGAAATCCAGTTGGTTACAGATGCACAGAAGGATTGTTGTTGATTCAAACATATCCAGTTTATTCCCATTCTACAGTTATTGGAAATAGTTTATATTAAAGAACCATCTGTATAAAATGATATAAAAAGAGCAGAAGAGAATAAAAGAGCTATCTCTGAAAGATAAACAATATATTGTAGTTCGTTGATAAGTTGAGATATAAGTGATGGTGTAAATCTATCTTGATGAGGTGTGGGAATGATCAAGGAAGCTTTAAATTTTGCATAGAAGGTGAGTTCAAATGAAGATAAATAAGGAGAGTTTTTATATGCAACTTTCTGATGTTGTTTTTTGCCTATAATATCTATTTTAAACAATATTTTGAAATGGAACTTTGGACACACATTTTTTTTTACCATTCAAGAAGCAACTAGAACATTTAACAAGACTTTCTAGTCTTATATTATTTGTGATTAAATTGAAGTGACGTATATTAGCTGTCTCAATATGTGGGTATTTTCTAGTAATTTGCCTGTAAATATTGGTATTGGTGAGCGGATTCCAAAAGGTGACATATTCTCTTTTAGTATCAGAAGGATTTATATCTAAATCATAAAGTGACATAAAGGAAGAGTTAACATCTAATCTATATTCTAATTTAAGAGATCTATCTAAAGGATTAAGAACAACAAGATTAAAAATTAGTTTATCAAAAAAAGAAGAATCTATTCTAGCAAATTTTGATAATGAAACAGAAAGGTGAAATCTAATATCTTTCTAGTTGAGAAGATGGCAACCATCAAGTGAGATAAATTGATCCAAATAATATAGTTGTAATCTTTTAATAATATTAAAATTTTGTTTGAAGATAGCATAAGAAAATAGTTAGTAAAATGAATATGAGCCTCCTATTATGTAATTATTCAAAAAATTTTTGACCCTAGGTTTGAAACCAGAAGCAACTATATTAATAATGCTAAGTTGAGCGCCAATTAGATTTTTGTGAGAAGAACGGTTGTAAGAATGTGTCTATAAATGGAGTGGAAATGAAGGAAGAAGGTTAAGTGATTGTAGTTGAAAGAGACAAATTGAAGATACATTAAAATAAAGATCTGTCAAATTGAATTGGTTGAGAAGAGCAGTTGTAAAGGATTTGATCAAAGATCGTGTAGGTTGTAATATTTGTTACTATTTAAAATGGCAATTGGAATTGTAATAGCAAAATCAGACTTTCTTTTAAAGAAAGTTCTAATAGAACCAAAGTAAACATTACATTCACGTTCAAAAAGAGGTATACATTGCAATCTATATTCTAGGAGTGGACAAAGGACTGCATTAACGATGTATGTAATTTGTTTATCTGTGAGAGGCTTGGACTTCATGACAGCAGCAAAATTATTGATCTTTTTGAGCTTGAGTTTTAACAAAAGTTTGAGAATTCGAACGATTGATCCAAATTCCTAGAAATCTCACAGAATTTAACTCAGGAGTGATATTGACAGTGGAAGAATCAAAATTAATGTTGATGGTTGGGATGCAAAAGACTTTGTTGTGATAAGCTTTGATTTGAATTTGTTCAAGGCAGCCCTAGTTAAATCATAAAAATCATCGGCTATCACAAGAATGTCTTCTAGATTTTGTTAAGAGTTAGCAATCCAGTTAGTATTATCCATAAAGGCCAGAAATGATACAGATTCAGAAAAAGTTGTAGTAGTGTTGCTGTTTATATTATTGATCCATGTATGAGATATTTCATATCTTTTATTTAAAGCATCTACTTCACATAAAAGAGGATCAAAATAAATGCATTATAGTAAAGGAGAGATAACCTCTCCTTGATCAATACCAATTTTAATATCATAGTAATCAGTAAGACTGTCAGCTGTAAAAATTGCATTTTTTCTATTAGTGAAGAGTTTGATGATTAAATCTACACACTTAGCAGGAATTTTGATACATTGTAAGGTGAGACGAAGAAATTTTAAGTTAACATGATTATATGCCTTGAAAGGTTTTGCAATAAAATCCAAAGCTCTTTTTTATTTTCATTAACACCTTCTAATAACATATTTAGAATTTTGATTGGCTTTTCTGTAGAACTTCCATGTAAATCAGCAAAGTTGTTACCTTTCAGGACATGATGATTAGCGAGAATTTTTGAGAGTCAATTAGTAACAACTTTGACAAATGCTTTTCTTAATATTTCTAATAAGATAATCGGATAGGTCTTTGTAATGTCACATTCCATTCCATTGGTTTAGGAATTGGATATACATGTGCAATTTTCCATTCACTGGGAGTGTCACCAATGGTGAAACACATGCAAATTAATTGCCAAACTAAGTGCTTGAATTTATCTTTTAAATGTTGAAACATTTCGTTGTGGATACCTAAAGGCAGTGATGTACATTTCCTATGTCCCAAGCATTTGCTGTTCCAGCTATATGTCCCAACTATATGTCCTAACTATGTCCCATATATGTCCCAAATCTCCTATCTATCCCATCAATGTCCCATCAATGTCCTATCAGTGTCCTATCAGTGTCCTAACTATATCCCATGACAACACTACCTGAAGGTCCAGCAGCTTTATCTTTAGCTAAGTGTGAAAGAACTGAACACCATTCATTAAATGTTGAAGGTTGCATAAGATTGTCATATATATTTTCAGAAACATAATCCTTTGGTTGATATTGTGAGATCCATCTTCAATCCAAAGATCTTGGAGGCGTCAATGGTAATGCATTATTTTGAAAGTGGTTGATTGCAACTTTTTTTATTTCATCAGGATCTAAGGTAAAATGTTTAGAACTATTATTATGATTGATAAAGACTCGATCCAAAGTAATTTTTCTCTTTTTCCTTTGTAAAATAGAATCTATCATCCTGCTCAGTTGAGATTTGAGTTGATCACATCTTTTTCCAATAAGTAATTTTATTTGTGCATCAGTATTTTTCTTGGCATCCAATTTGGTGAGCTTATATAGAACTTTATAAATGCAGTTAAGAATCTTTTTAACATCTTTAACATTTGATAGATTTAAAAATTAGGGCAGAGGATCTAAAGGATATGAAATGTCTTTGACAATATTTGCAACAATATTTAGATTATATTTCCATTCTTCACCAATAAGTCAAAGCCGTTCGCTTAACCTTTTAGACTGAAATTTTAGAAGAATCTTTTCGATCTTAGTGAGTGATAGGTAGTATTGAGAAAGTTCTTTTGGTTTTGGTGCACGGTCTTGTGTAGAGATCCATTTGTGAGGAATTTTAGACTTACTAATATCCAAAACAGTTTTTTTCAATTCTATCCAAAGATTATTCATATTTGCATAATTGGATGGGAGATCTTTTAAGCAATCAAAATTGTGATTATTATAGTAAGTATTTG